TAAGAAATTATGAAGCCTTTGGCATATGCGAAGTCAGTACAGTGTTGGCAAACGAGTTGTGTATTTACCTCTTCATCGCCGCGTAATTGATTGTCCAAAGTAGAGATTTGATCGAAAAATGTCCAGCTTAAATTCTCAGCGCTGCTGGGTAGAATTTGTAGATTCACAGAATTTCGCTTATCCTGTTGATCCTGTTTGGCTAATTTTTGATGCACTTTCTGTTGATTTTTTCTGAGTGTATTATTACTAGCGGAACGTTGTAACGTTTCTTGTTGTTTTTGTTGTTGTTGTTGCTGTTGTGTCACGGAAGAGTCAAAATTAAAATCTAAAATATGCGAGGCAATGTCGATGGTATCATTCACCATGGCAGATATAGACAAACGCTTTTCGCAAAAATGGCTGATGCACTACAACTAAAACAAAAAGCAAACAAGGTATGGTTGATTTATTTACATAAATGGCCAAGGGTTTTTTTTTGTTATTAGTTACGTTTCATTTATCAATTGTATTGTGTTATATTAAATGGATTTTATTTGTGCGAATATATTTTTATATTCATTTCTATCATTTTTTTTTTTTTAGTTTGCCACACACTTGCGTGGTATTCTTAATTTATGCTTTTTATGGCCACATACTCATATTAAATGGGCACAACGATGCATGCAACCATAAACACTGATCATATGTGTATGTGAATGTATGTATGTATAAATAGGTATGTATGTATGTGCCAGTATGTACGCAGATAAATCAGAAGTCAGTCGCGAGTGCAGTTGACTCAACGTCGGCGCGCAGAATTTTCCGCACAAATTAATAATTAATTAATTGATGAGTGAGTAAACAATGGCTTATTGAGAGTTGTACAAACAAACGTGTACAGATAAATTGGCAATTACATAAATGGAGGGCAGGAGGAGTAGAGGTAAAACATTAAAAAAAGGCAAATTATTATTATAAAAAATTGCTATGCAAAAACCACTAAATGCCGCGTGATTTTTATAACCTTTTCATAGGCGCGCCGAAGCAACGTGTTGCAACTGTAAAGCGGCCATTGAATGATAAAATAGATACGAGTGTCTGAAATTCAACAGCGTCATTTTGTGCGCCAAATTATGTGATTTTCCAATCAATTAAACGCGAAATTTCGACGCGCGTTCGACCGTTTGGCTGGCTGTTCGGTATCCGGCTGTCCGGTTGTCCGGCCAGCAATGCAAAGCCAAACGAGCTGATGGCAGCAATTGCAGCGATTTAATTGCGCGTGAAATGATGCTAAATGCTGCCAAGTAAAACAACAACAATGCTGAAATTGCATTCTAAAAGAAAAAACTGTTTATAGTCACTACTCAACATTAATACACGGCGTATACGCAACTCTATTAGTTCAATTCACATCAGTATTGAAACTACTTAGGCACTTGCTACACTTTTTCCGCGTATTTCACTCACCAATTCCGCATATTCACTATAAAACTTGTAGCGAAATGTTTTCCAACTAAAGTACAATCAAAAGCTACGAATACTATATGTTATAGACGCACTAATTTATCGTTGAATGATTTTTTTTCTCCATGGAATTAATTGTTAAAAATAATGTTTTTTCAACATTTTCACGCGCCGCATTAACAAATTGCGAACTGTTCACGCGCACGCTTTGCCAAACACTGACTGGTCAACATCTTCGGCGGCATTTTCATCACTTCGTTGGCTGCGGCGATTTGCTGTAGCGGAAAATTCTTTTGCCGGCAGCTTTACAGCCGTGAAATGCTTTGCAGCCAACTGAAAGCTTTTTTACCTGCCGATGGCTGCTTCTCGCAGGCTTACTTTCGAAAAGAGAGCAAGAGCGCGAGATTTTTTACATTGAGAGCATGCTCTGTTTTGTATAGCCGGTTTGTTTACATCGCATTTTAGCATTGTTGTTATTATTGTTTGGTGTATGCAACACGTGGTTTGCAGCTGCCAAATAAATAGCATCAATTTATTGTTGTTTATTTTTAGTATGCTCTTTTTTACTGTTTAGTATGTCGTTGTTTTTCGTGTGCATTAATGCTTAAGGGTTGAAGCTATGGAAATATACGTGCAAAAGTTGGTAGAGTTGCCAAACTTTAGAAAAATTAGCGGAAAATTTAAGCGTTGTATACAGTTTTTTTTATACAACATGCCAAAAGTCCCTATCGATGCATATGGCGGTCGCAATGTTCGCGGAATAAAAGGCTCAAAAAAAAGTAAGTGCGTCTGGGTCACACTGGTGAAGTCAAACTTACGTTACATACATATCTATTTGGTCTCACAACTAATATGTATACATACATACATCTGCTTTTGCTTAAGGTTATATTTTTTGTCTTTTTTCTATCTAGATCCCTACCTCTACCCCTATTCGTTCTAATTACATTTATGTTATTCTGTTTTCCTTTATCTTCTTTTTTATTTTTATACTCTATCGATAACAAAATCGACAGTAACATCCAATAAAATATCGACAGCAAAATTCGATAAAACAATTCATATAAAAATCATAAAAAATTTTGATAAAAAAATCGTTAAAAATATCCATAACAAAATTGATAGTAAAATCGATGAAAAATTCGATAAAAATATCTACAGCAAAATCGATAAAAATATCGGTAAAAAAATTTATAGAAATATCCATAACAAAATCGATAAATATCGATAACAAAATCGATAAATATCTATGACAAAATCGATAAAAAAAGGTCGCTAATAAAATTTGTTGAAAATATCGATTACAAAATGGGTAACAAATCGATAAAATTATCGATAACAAAATCGATAAAAATATCGATTATTATATCTATAACTTCCGAAAACATCGATAGCAAAATTGATAATTATTTATCGATAAATCTCGTCAATCCCGAAAATCCCAAAATAGTTCCAAGATTGAGTCGCTGCGTCTCTCTATATACTTTTTCTTTAATTACCTTATTTACATATAAGTAAAGTATTTTAATTTACCTTAGTCTGCATTTTTGCCTTTATCTTTACGCATCATTGTTTTTGTTTTTATTTGTCTTTATCCGTTTCTTTGTCTATGTACGTACTCACCTTTACTTTCATTCTTGTATTGGTCTTTTTCTAAGTGTTATTCTTTAACCTTTTATTAGCAAATTTTTGTTAAATGAATACCATTTGCAATTTCCGTTGAATTTGCCATTTTACTCCCAACCAACCACCGCCCGCTAAAGACGTTTCACTTCAAAACAAAAAAAACAAAATTCCGAAAATCTCGCTAAGGATCACTATTTTGAGAAATTAGCGGTTACCTAGTGTGAAGCGTACAAAAATGTCTAAGCCACTTTTTT